AGGATCCCCACCCATCTGCAGCCGATCGCCTTGCGTCCCTTCGGCAGTGGCACCAGGGTCCACGTCTCGTTCTTGCGGAGCGACTCCACCTCCGAGTCGCACGCCTCTTTCCACTTGTCTGCGTCGCTGGATTCCATCGCCGACTTGAACGTTGTCGGCATCTCTCCCACTGAATCCACGACGTACGCAGCCTCGAAGTCTTCCTTCTCTTGTGCTGCGGCAGACATCTCGTCCAGCGGTTGCTGTCGTCTTGGCACCGCATACCGCTTGGCACTCGGAACCTCCACGGCTTCCTCGAGCGACTGCGTGCGCGGGTGTCGCTTGCTGCCGGGTTCAAAGTCTTGATTCCGCGCAGCTTCTTCTCTGTTCTCGTCTGATCCGGACTGAGTCTCTTCATCCGTGGTGTCTTCATCATCATCTGTCGGAAGACCCACCAACACCTCCTTCGAAGCGTAGTCGCGTCTCCCACCGTCGAAGACATCCTCCATGAACTGCGCGTCGCGGCTCACCAACACGCGACCGCTCTCGATCTCCTCGAACCGATACGCCTTCTCGTGCTCCGAGTACCCGAGGAAACGACAGCGCACCGACCGAGCGTCGAACTTCGACCGCTTCTCCTTCGGCACGTGCACGTACGCGTGGCACCCGAACACCTTGAGGTTGGCCAGCAAAGGCTTCTTGCCGGTCCAAACGTGGTGCGGCGACTTGTCGTGACTGATGGCGCGCGTCGGACACCGGTTGCGGAGGAACGTGGCCGTCATCACCGCTTCTCCCCAGTACTCCTTCGACAACCCGGCGTGCTCCAGCATGCAGCGCGCACACTCCACCAGCGTCCGATTCATTCGTGTTGTCAAGACTGATGTGACGACGCCCCGCCAAGCGACCGTGTGACGCGAACGCGTCATCAGTGAGGTCGGCGTGACCTTCACTGTGTGGTACCGAAATCATTCAGGTGATTACGGGACGATGATTACGTCACGGTGATTACGCCAAGATTGTGGGTACAAGATGGGCATCGACGTGGCGTTCTCTGATTGGATAAGGTAACTGTGTATCCAGTAGAGAATCCAGTAGGGTGTATCCAGTAAGAGGTATCCAGTAGCAGGCTTAGAGGTAGCACGCGGTTGCGAACTAAGGACCTGAATCGAATCACTTTGCATTTTGTCAACTACTGCTCAAGTGTTCTTCCTTTTGGTTATGAGCCCAAGCCCCGTCTTCCCTGACCAAGACCCCGACTACGCCTTCGCCATGGACGCCGCCCCGACCGCGACCGCCCGCATCAACAAGTTCGACGGAACCAACTTCCACACATGGAAGTTCAAGATGCAGATGGTGCTGGAGGAGCGCGAACTGTGGGAAGTGACGAGTGGGGAAGTGAAGCTCGAGCAGTGCACGACCGCGGCGGACCAAGCGACGTTTCGCAAGAAGTCGCGCAAGGCGCTGGCGATCGTCTGTCTCGCGTTGGAGGACTCGCAGCTGCCGCTGGTGCGGTCGGCGAAGGACGCGCATGATGCATGGTCAAGACTCGAGGGACACTTCGAGAAGAAGAGCCTGGCGAACAAGCTCTTTCTTCGTCGACGGTTCTTCACGACAACGATGGACGAAGGTGATGATGTGCTGGAGCACATTAACAAGCTCAAGACGCTGGCGGAACAGCTCGACGCGGTCGGCGCTCCGGTCAGCGAGGACGACTTGGTGATCACGCTTCTTGCCAGTCTGAGCGAGTCGTACCAGTTCCTCATCACGGCGTTGGAATCGCGCTCCGACACGCTGACGTGGGAGCTCGTGACGTCTCGGCTCCTGCACGAGGACATGAAGCGCAAGGAACAAGGTGGCGGTGCTGACGGAACCGCGCACGCTCAAGGTCAAGCGTTCATGACAAGCGACAACGGGAAGCGCAAGGGACGGCAGGCGCAAGCGCAGAGGACGAGCGCCTGTCACTACTGCGGCGAGCACGGACATTGGATCGCCAAGTGTCCGGTGCGGATCCGCGAGAACGGGGAGCGGCAGAGGCCGCAACGAGCGAACGTCGCGCAGGTCGAAGATGACTCTGGCGACTTCCTCTTCTCGGTTGGTGGCGACACGGGTGCCTCCAAGCTGAGCGGCATGTGGCTGGTCGACTCGGGTGCGACGCAGCACATGACGTACTCGAAGGAGTACATGAAGAACTACAAGAAGATCTCTCCGGTGGACGTGCATCTGGCGGACGACGGCGTGGATCAGGTGGTGGGGAGCGGCGACATCGTGATGTCGATGCAGACACCGCGCGGCATGAAGAAGGGTGTGCTCACGGGTGTGTGGCACATCCCGAAGCTGTCGCGCAACCTGTTCTCCGTCGGCCGCTTCACCAAGGACGTCGGGCCAGTGACCTTCGAGAGCGACGGGTGCTTCGCGGAAACGAAGGGTCTCAAGTGGAAGCTCGGCGCTCGCGAAGGCAAAGGACTGTTCAAGCTCTGCATGACGCCGAGGACGCCTGCTGACGAGGCCAATGCGGCAAGCTCGAAGAATCGCCAAGGGGACACCACGTCGTACCTCTGGCACCTTCGACTTGGTCACATCGGCCATGGTGGTCTCGACGCCATCGTCAAGAAGGGCTACGGCACTGGCATCCCAATGACGTCGGTGAAGCAGTGGGAGGTGTGCGACGGGTGCGCACTCGGCAAGCAAACGCGAGTAAGCTTCATGAAGTCGTCGCCGAACCGTGCGAAGCAAGTGCTGGAGGTGGTCCACAGCGATGTGTGCGGTCCGATGCAGACGGCGACGTTCGGAGGCAAGCGCTACTTCGTCACGTTCATCGACGACAAGTCGCACTTCTGCGTGGTGTACCTGCTACGGAACAAGTCGGAGGTGGCTGCCAAGTTCGCTGCGTTCGTCGCGTTGGCTGAAACGCAGACCGGCAAGCGAGTGAAGGTGCTTCGGAGCGACAACGGCGGCGAGTACACTTCGGGTGCGATGGCCAAGTTGTGTGCGGATCGCGGCATCGAGCAGAAGTTCACGCCACCATACACGCCTCAGCTCAACGGAGTGGCCGAGCGAATGAATCGGACGCTGGTGGAGTGTGCGCGCTGCATGCTGGAGCACGCCGGGTTGTCGAAGGAGTACTGGGGAGAAGCAGTGATGACGGCCACGTTCCTCCGCAACCGGTGTCCGACGCGCGCCATCAGTCACGACAAGTCGCCGCACCACGTTTGGACCGACAAGAAGCCTTTGCTGGCCAACCTCAAGGTGTTCGGGTGCCACGCGTACGTGCACGTGCCGAAGGAGAAGCGGTCGAAGTTCGACGCTCGGTCGGTGCGCTGTCGTTTCCTCGGGTACTCGGAGCACGAGAAGGCGTATCGGTTCGAGGAGATCGAGAGCGGTCGCGTGTTGGTGAGCCGCGACGCGCAGTTCATGGAGGATGTCTTCGACGGTGGGAGACGCGACTACGCTTCGAAGGAGGTGTTGGTGGGTCTTCCGACAGATGATGATGAAGACACCACGGATGAAGAGACTCAGTCCGGATCAGACGAGAACAGCGAAGAAGCTGCGCGGAATCAAGACTTTGAACCCGGCAGCAAGCGACACCCGCGCACGCAGTCGCTCGAGGAAGCCGTGGAGGTTCCGAGTGCCAAGCGGTATGCGGTGCCGAGACGACAGCAGCCGCTGGACGAGATGTCTGCCGCAGCACAAGAGAAGGAAGACTTCGAGGCTGCGTACGTCGTGGATTCAGTGGGAGAGATGCCGACAACGTTCAAGTCGGCGATGGAATCCAGCGACGCAGACAAGTGGAAAGAGGCGTGCGACTCGAAGGTGGAGTCGCTCCGCAAGAACGAGACGTGGACCCTGGTGCCACTGCCGAAGGGACGCAAGGCGATCGGCTGCAGATGGGTGTTCCGCGTGAAGGAGAACCAGTCTGGAGAGATCGAGCGGTTCAAGGCGCGACTGGCGGCGAAGGGGTTCTCGCAGAAGTACGGCATCGACTACGACGAGACGTTCGCGCCGGTGGCCAAGTTCACGTCGATTCGGGTGTTGCTGAGTCTGGCGGCCAAGTACAAGCTCACAGTGCACCAGATGGATGTGAAGACCGCGTTCCTCAACGGCTTGTTGGACGAGGACATCTACATGGCGCAGCCGGACGGATATGTGGACGGAGATCGACCCGACTACGTGTGCCGGCTCAAGCGTTCGCTGTACGGCCTGAAGCAGTCGCCGCGGATGTGGAACAAGACGATCGACGAGTTCATGTTGAAGCTGGGGTTCAAGAAGTGCGAGTCCGACCACTGCATTTACTTGAAGCGGGACAATCACGACATGATGTTCGTGGCACTGTACGTGGACGATCTGGTCCTCGCCAGCAGCAGCGACGGGATGCTGAAGGACACGAAGCAGGCGCTGAGTGACCGGTTCGAGATGACCGACATGGGCCAGCTCAAGTACTTTCTCGGTATGGAGATCGAGCAAGATGTGGCGACTGGGAAGGTGTCGGTGCGGCAGACCAAGTTCGCGAAGGACATTCTCGAGAAGTTCAAGATGGATGAGAGCAACCCTGTGAAGACACCGCAGGATCCGGGTCTGAAGCTGACCAAGGCCATGTGCGAGGGAGGCTGCAAGCACGACGAGACCATGGCGAATGTTCCGTACCGGAACGCCGTGGGCTGCCTCATGTATCTCATGGTGGGGACTCGTCCGGACCTCGCAGCGGCAGTGGGAGTGCTGAGCCAGTTCGCAGCGGATCCATGTCCGACACACTGGCAGGCGCTCAAGAGGGTCTTCCGCTACATCCGAGGCACGAAGACGCACGGCCTCGTGTTTCAAGCGAGCAGCGAGGACGGACTGCAAGGCTACTCGGACGCGGACTGGGCCGGCGACATCGAGTCTCGACGGAGTACGAGCGGCTACGCGTTCATGATGAACGGCGGATGCATCAGCTGGCGAAGCAAGAAGCAGCGCACGGTGGCGCTCTCGTCGACGGAAGCCGAGTACATGGCGCTGTCGGAGGCCACGCAGGAGGCGGTGTGGCTCAAGGTGTTTCTGTGCGAGCTGGGCGAGATGGCGAGCGATGAAGCGGTGAAGATCTACGAGGACAACCAAGGCTCCATCGCGTTGGCCAAGAACCCGGAGTTCCACAAGCGCACCAAGCACATCGACATTCGCTACCACTTCGTGCGCGAGAAGGTGGAAGACGGTCAAGTGGTGTTGCAGTATGTTTCGACACTCGACATGCTGGCGGACATCATGACGAAGCCGATCGCGGCGCCGCAGTTCGACGCGCTCAGGACGAAGCTGGGCATCGTGGTCGCTGACGAGTCGAGTGGGAGTGTTGTCAAGACTGATGTGACGACGCCTCGCCAAGCGACCGTGTGACGCGAACGCGTCATCAGTGAGGTCGGCGTGACCTTCACTGTGTTGTACCGCAATCATTCAGGTGATTACGGGACGATGATTACGTCACGGTGATTACGCCATGATTGTGGGTACAGGATTGTGGGTACAAGATGGGCATCGACGTGGCGTTCTCTGATTGGATAAGGTAACTGTGTATCCAGTAGAGAATCCAGTAGGGTGTATCCAGTAAGAGGTATCCAGTAGCAGGCTTAGAGGTAGCACGCGGTTGCGAACTAAGGACCTGAATCGAATCACTTTGCATTTTGCCAACTACTGCTCAAGTGCTCTTCCTTTTGGGGTTCAAGAAGTGCGAGTCCGACCACTGCATCTACTTGAAGCGGGACAATCACGACATGATGTTCGTGGCACTGTACGTGGACGATCTGGTCCTCGCCAGCAGCAGCGACGGGATGCTGAAGGACACGAAGCAGGCGCTGAGTGACCGGTTCGAGATGACTGACATGGGCCAGCTCAAGTACTTCCTCGGTATCGAGCAAGATGTGGCGACTGGGAAGGTGTCGGTGCGGCAGACCAAGTTCGCGAAGGACATTCTCGAGAAGTTCAAGATGGATGAGAGCAACCCTGTGAAGACACCGCAGGATCCGGGTCTGAAGCTGACCAAGGCCATGTGCGAGGGAGGCTGCAAGCACGACGAGACCATGGCGAATGTTCCGTACCGGAACGCCGTGGGCTGCCTCATGTATCTCATGGTGGGGACTCGTCCGGACCTCGCAGCGGCAGTGGGAGTGCTGAGCCAGTTCGCAGCGGACCCATGTCCGACACACTGGCAGGCGCTCAAGAGGGTCTTCCGCTACATCCGAGGCACGAAGACGCACGGCCTCGTGTTTCAAGCGAGCAGCGAGGACGGACTGCAAGGCTACTCGGACGCGGACTGGGCCGGCGACATCGAGTCTCGACGGAGTACGAGCGGCTACGCGTTCATGATGAACGGCGGATGCATCAGCTGGCGAAGCAAGAAGCAGCGCACGGTGGCGCTCTCGTCGACGGAAGCCGAGTACATGGCGCTGTCGGAGGCCACGCAGGAGGCGGTGTGGCTCAAGGTGTTTCTGTGCGAGCTGGGCGAGATGGCGAGCGATGAAGGGGTGAAGATCTACGAGGACAACCAAGGCTCCATCGCGTTGGCCAAGAACCCGGAGTTCCACAAGCGCACCAAGCACATCGACATTCGCTACCACTTCGTGCGCGAGAAGGTGGAAGACGGTCAAGTGGTGTTGCAGTATGTTTCGACACTCGACATGCTGGCGGACATCATGACGAAGCCGATCGCGGCGCCGCAGTTCGACGCGCTCAGGACGAAGCTGGGCATCGTGGTCGCTGACGAGTCGAGTGGGAGTGTTGTCAAGACTGATGTGACGACGCCCCGCCAAGCGACCGTGTGACGCGAACGCGTCATCAGTGAGGTCGGCGTGACCTTCACTGTGTGGTACCGAAATCATTCAGGTGATTACGGGACGATGATTACGTCACGGTGATTACGCCAAGATTGTGGGTACAAGATGGGCATCGACGTGGCGTTCTCTGATTGGATAAGGTAACTGTGTATCCAGTAGAGAATCCAGTAGGGTGTATCCAGTAAGAGGTATCCAGTAGCAGGCTTAGAGGTAGCACGCGGTTGCGAACTAAGGACCTGAATCGAATCACTTTGCATTTTGCCAACTACTGCTCAAGTGCTCTTCCTTTTTGGTTATGAGCCCAAGCCCCGTCTTCCCTGACCAAGACCCCGACTACGCCTTCGCCATGGACGCCGCCCCAACCGCGACCGCCCGCATCAACAAGTTCGACGGAACCAACTTCCACACATGGAAGTTCAAGATGCAGATGGTGCTGGAGGAGCGCGAACTGTGGGAAGTGACGAGTGGGGAAGTGAAGCTCGAGCAGTGCACGACCGCGGCGGACCAAGCGACGTTTCGCAAGAAGTCGCGCAAGGCGCTGGCGATCGTCTGCCTCGCGATGGAGGACTCGCAGCTGCCGCTGGTGCGGTCGGCGAAGGACGCGCATGATGCATGGTCAAGACTCGAGGGACACTTCGAGAAGAAGAGCCTGGCGAACAAGCTCTTTCTTCGTCGACGGTTCTTCACGACAACGATGGACGAAGGTGATGATGTGCTGGAGCACATTAACAAGCTCAAGACGCTGGCGGAACAGCTCGACGCGGTCGGCGCTCCGGTCAGCGAGGACGACTTGGTGATCACGCTTCTTGCCAGTCTGAGCGAGTCGTACCAGTTCCTCATCACGGCGTTGGAATCGCGTTCCGACACGCTGACGTGGGAGCTCGTGACGTCTCGGCTCCTGCACGAGGACATGAAGCGCAAGGAACAAGGTGGCGGTGCTGACGGAACCGCGCACGCTCAAGGTCAAGCGTTCATGACAAGCGACAACGGGAAGCGCAAGGGACGGCAGGCGCAAGCGCAGAGGACGAGCGCCTGTCACTACTGCGGCGAGCACGGACATTGGATCGCCAAGGGTCCGGTGCGGATCCGCGAGAACGGGGAGCGGCAGAGGCCGCAACGAGCGAACGTCGCGCAGGTCGAAGATGACTCTGGCGACTTCCTCTTCTCGGTTGGTGGCGACACGGGTGCCTCCAAGCTGAGCGGCATGTGGCTGGTCGACTCGGGTGCGACGCAGCACATGACGTACTCGATGGAGTACATGAAGAACTACAAGAAGATCTCTCCGGTGGACGTGCATCTGGCGGACGACGGCGTGGTTCAGGCGGTGGGGAGCGGCGACATCGTGATGTCGATGCAGACACCGCGCGGCATGAAGAAGGGTGTGCTCACGGGTGTGTGGCACATCCCGAAGCTGTCGCGCAACCTGTTCTCCGTCGGCCGCTTCACCAAGGACGTCGGGCCAGTGACCTTCGAGAGCGACGGGTGCTTCGCGGAAACGAAGGGTCTCAAGTGGAAGCTCGGCGCTCGCGAAGGCAAAGGACTGTTCAAGCTCTGCATGACGCCGAGGACGCCTGCTGACGAGGCCAATGCGGCAAGCTCGAAGAATCGCCAAGGGGACACCACGTCGTACCTCTGGCACCTTCGACTTGGTCACATCGGCCATGGTGGTCTCGACGCCATCGTCAAGAAGGGCTACGGCACTGGCATCCCAATGACGTCGGTGAAGCAGTGGGAGGTGTGCGACGGGTGCGCACTCGGCAAGCAAACGCGAGTAAGCTTCATGAAGTCGTCGCCGAACCGTGCGAAGCAAGTGCTGGAGGTGGTCCACAGCGATGTGTGCGGTCCGATGCAGACGGCGACGTTCGGAGGCAAGCGCTACTTCGTCACGTTCATCGACGACAAGTCGCACTTCTGCGTGGTGTACCTGCTACGGACCAAGTCGGAGGTGGCTGCCAAGTTCGCTGCGTTCGTCGCGTTGGCTGAGACGCAGACCGGCAAGCGAGTGAAGGTGCTTCGGAGCGACAACGGCGGCGAGTACACTTCGGGTGCGATGGCCAAGTTGTGTGCGGATCGCGGCATCGAGCAGAAGTTCACGCCACCATACACGCCTCAGCTCAACGGAGTGGCCGAGCGAATGAATCGGACGCTGGTGGAGTGTGCGCGCTGCATGCTGGAGCACGCCGGGTTGTCGAAGGAGTACTGGGGAGAAGCGGTGATGACGGCCACGTTCCTCCGCAACCGGTGTCCGACGCGCGCCATCAGTCACGACAAGTCGCCGCACCACGTTTGGACCGGCAAGAAGCCTTTGCTGGCCAACCTCAAGGTGTTCGGGTGCCACGCGTACGTGCACGTGCCGAAGGAGAAGCGGTCGAAGTTCGACGCTCGGTCGGTGCGCTGTCGTTTCCTCGGGTACTCGGAAAAGGAAGAACACTTGAGCAGTAGTTGGCAAAATGCAAAGTGATTCGATTCAGGTCCTTAGTTCGCAACCGCGTGCTACCTCTAAGCCTGCTACTGGATACCTCTTACTGGATACACCCTACTGGATTCTCTACTGGATACACAGTTACCTTATCCAATCAGAGAACGCCACGTCGATGCCCATCTTGTACCCACAATCCTGTACCCACAATCATGGCGTAATCACCGTGACGTAATCATCGTCCCGTAATCACCTGAATGATTGCGGTACAACACAGTGAAGGTCACGCCGACCTCACTGATGACGCGTTCGCGTCACACGGTCGCTTGGCGAGGCGTCGTCACATCAGTCTTGACAACACTCCCACTCGACTCGTCAGCGACCACGATGCCCAGCTTCGTCCTGAGCGCGTCGAACTGCGGCGCCGCGATCGGCTTCGTCATGATGTCCGCCAGCATGTCGAGTGTCGAAACATACTGCAACACCACTTGACCGTCTTCCACCTTCTCGCGCACGAAGTGGTAGCGAATGTCGATGTGCTTGGTGCGCTTGTGGAACTCCGGGTTCTTGGCCAACGCGATGGAGCCTTGGTTGTCCTCGTAGATCTTCACCGCTTCATCGCTCGCCATCTCGCCCAGCTCGCACAGAAACACCTTGAGCCACACCGCCTCCTGCGTGGCCTCCGACAGCGCCATGTACTCGGCTTCCGTCGACGAGAGCGCCACCGTGCGCTGCTTCTTGCTTCGCCAGCTGATGCATCCGCCGTTCATCATGAACGCGTAGCCGCTCGTACTCCGTCGAGACTCGATGTCGCCGGCCCAGTCCGCGTCCGAGTAGCCTTGCAGTCCGTCCTCGCTGCTCGCTTGAAACACGAGGCCGTGCGTCTTCGTGCCTCGGATGTAGCGGAAGACCCTCTTGAGCGCCTGCCAGTGTGTCGGACATGGATCCGCTGCGAACTGGCTCAGCACTCCCACTGCCGCTGCGAGGTCCGGACGAGTCCCCACCATGAGATACATGAGGCAGCCCACGGCGTTCCGGTACGGAACATTCGCCATGGTCTCGTCGTGCTTGCAGCCTCCCTCGCACATGGCCTTGGTCAGCTTCAGACCCGGATCCTGCGGTGTCTTCACAGGGTTGCTCTCATCCATCTTGAACTTCTCGAGAATGTCCTTCGCGAACTTGGTCTGCCGCACCGACACCTTCCCAGTCGCCACATCTTGCTCGATCTCCATACCGAGAAAGTACTTGAGCTGGCCCATGTCGGTCATCTCGAACCGGTCACTCAGCGCCTGCTTCGTGTCCTTCAGCATCCCGTCGCTGCTGCTGGCGAGGACCAGATCGTCCACGTACAGTGCCACGAATATCATGTCGTGATTGTCCCGCTTCAAGTAGATGCAGTGGTCGGACTCGCACTTCTTGAACCCCAGCTTCAACATGAACTCGTCGATCGTCTTGTTCCACATCCGCGGCGACTGCTTCAGACCGTACAGCGAACGCTTGAGCCGGCACACGTAGTCGGGTCGATCTCCGTCCACATATCCGTCCGGCTGCGCCATGTAGATGTCCTCGTCCAACAAGCCGTTGAGGAACGCGGTCTTCACATCCATCTGGTGCACTGTGAGCTTGTACTTGGCCGCCAGACTCAGCAACACCCGAATCGACGTGAACTTGGCCACCGGCGCGAACGTCTCGTCGTAGTCGATGCCGTACTTCTGCGAGAACCCCTTCGCCACCAGTCGCGCCTTGAACCGCTCGATCTCTCCAGACTGGTTCTCCTTCACGCGGAACACCCATCTGCAGCCGATCGCCTTGCGTCCCTTCGGCAGTGGCACCAGGGTCCACGTCTCGTTCTTGCGGAGCGACTCCACCTCCGAGTCGCACGCCTCTTTCCACTTGTCTGCGTCGCTGGATTCCATCGCCGACTTGAACGTTGTCGGCATCTCTCCCACTGAATCCACGACGTACGCAGCCTCGAAGTCTTCCTTCTCTTGTGCTGCGGCAGACATCTCGTCCAGCGGCTGCTGTCGTCTCGGCACCGCATACCGCTTGGCACTCGGAACCTCCACGGCTTCCTCGAGCGACTGCGTGCGCGGGTGTCGCTTGCTGCCGGGTACAAAGTCTTGATTCCGCGCAGCTTCTTCTCTGTTCTCGTCTGATCCGGACTGAGTCTCTTCATCCGTGGTGTCTTCATCATCATCTGTCGGAAGACCCACCAACACCTCCTTCGAAGCGTAGTCGCGTCTCCCACCGTCGAAGACATCCTCCATGAACTGCGCGTCGCGGCTCACCAACACGCGACCGCTCTCGATCTCCTCAAACCGATACGCCTTCTCGTGCTCCGAGTACCCGAGGAAACGACAGCGCACCGACCGAGCGTCGAACTTCGACCGCTTCTCCTTCGGCACGTGCACGTACGCGTGGCACCCGAACACCTTGAGGTTGGCCAGCAAAGGCTTCTTGCCGGTCCAAACGTGGTGCGGCGACTTGTCGTGACTGATGGCGCGCGTCGGACACCGGTTGCGGAGGAACGTGGCCGTCATCACCGCTTCTCCCCAGTACTCCTTCGACAACCCGGCGTGCTCCAGCATGCAGCGCGCACACTCCACCAGCGTCCGATTCATTCGCTCGGCCACTCCGTTGAGCTGAGGCGTGTATGGTGGCGTGAACTTCTGCTCGATGCCGCGATCCGCACACAACTTGGCCATCGCACCCGAAGTGTACTCGCCGCCGTTGTCGCTCCGAAGCACCTTCACTCGCTTGCCGGTCTGCGTCTCAGCCAACGCGACGAACGCAGCGAACTTGGCAGCCACCTCCGACTTGTTCCGTAGCAGGTACACCACGCAGAAGTGCGACTTGTCGTCGATGAACGTGACGAAGTAGCGCTTGCCTCCGAACGTCGCCGTCTGCATCGGACCGCACACATCGCTGTGGACCACCTCCAGCACTTGCTTCGCACGGTTCGGCGACGACTTCATGAAGCTTACTCGCGTTTGCTTGCCGAGTGCGCACCCGTCGCACACCTCCCACTGCTTCACCGACATCATTGGGATGCCAGTGCCGTAGCCCTTCTTGACGATGGCGTCGAGACCACCATGGCCGATGTGACCAAGTCGAAGGTGCCAGAGGTACGACGTGGTGTCCCCTTGGCGATTCTTCGAGCTTGCCGCATTGGCCTCGTCAGCAGGCGTCCTCGGCGTCATGCAGAGCTTGAACAGTCCTTTGCCTTCGCGAGCGCCGAGCTTCCACTTGAGACCCTTCGTTTCCGCGAAGCACCCGTCGCTCTCGAAGGTCACTGGCCCGACGTCCTTGGTGAAGCGGCCGACGGAGAACAGGTTGCGCGACAGCTTCGGGATGTGCCACACACCCGTGAGCACACCCTTCTTCATGCCGCGCGGTGTCTGCATCGACATCACGATGTCGCCGCTCCCCACCGCCTGAACCACGCCGTCGTCCGCCAGATGCACGTCCACCGGAGAGATCTTCTTGTAGTTCTTCATGTACTCCTTCGAGTACGTCATGTGCTGCGTCGCACCCGAGTCGACCAGCCACATGCCGCTCAGCTTGGAGGCACCCGTGTCGCCACCAACCGAGAAGAGGAAGTCGCCAGAGTCATCTTCGACCTGCGCGACGTTCGCTCGTTGCGGCCTCTGCCGCTCCCCGTTCTCGCGGATCCGCACCGGACACTTGGCGATCCAATGTCCGTGCTCGCCGCAGTAGTGACAGGCGCTCGTCCTCTGCGCTTGCGCCTGCCGTCCCTTGCGCTTCCCGTTGTCGCTTGTCATGAACGCTTGACCTTGAGCGTGCGCGGTTCCGTCAGCACCGCCACCTTGTTCCTTGCGCTTCATGTCCTCGTGCAGGAGCCGAGACGTCACGAGCTCCCACGTCAGCGTGTCGGAACGCGATTCCAACGCCGTGATGAGGAACTGGTACGACTCGCTCAGACTGGCAAGAAGCGTGATCACCAAGTCGTCCTCGCTGATCGGAGCGCCGACCGCGTCGAGCTGTTCCGCCAGCGTCTTGAGCTTGTTAATGTGCTCCAGCACATCATCACCTTCGTCCATCGTTGTCGTGAAGAACCGTCGACGAAGAAAGAGCTTGTTCGCCAGGCTCTTCTTCTCGAAGTGTCCCTCGAGTCTTGACCATGCATCATGCGCGTCCTTCGCCGACCGCACCAGCGGCAGCTGCGAGTCCTCCAACGCGAGACAGACGATCGCCAGCGCCTTGCGCGACTTCTTGCGAAACGTCGCTTGGTCCGCCGCGGTCGTGCACTGCTCGAGCTTCACTTCCCCACTCGTCACTTCCCACAGTTCGCGCTCCTCCAGCACCATCTGCATCTTGAACTTCCATGTGTGGAAGTTGGTTCCGTCGAACTTGTTGATGCGGGCGGTCGCGGTCGGGGCGGCGTCCATGGCGAAGGCGTAGTCGGGGTCTTGGTCAGGGAAGACGGGGCTTGGGCTCATAACCAAAAGGAAGAACACTTGAGCAGTAGTTGGCAAAATGCAAAGTGATTCGATTCAGGTCCTTAGTTCGCAACCGCGTGCTACCTCTAAGCCTGCTACTGGGTACCTCTTACTGGATACACCCTACTGGATTCTCTACTGGATACACAGTTACCTTATCCAATCAGAGAACGCCACGTCGATGCCCATCTTGTACCCACAATCTTGGCGTAATCACCGTGACGTAATCATCGTCCCGTAATCACCTGAATGATTTCGGTACCACACAGTGAAGGTCACGCCGACCTCACTGATGACGCGTTCGCGTCACACGGTCGCTTGGCGGGGCGTCGTCACATCAGTCTTGACAACACTCCCACTCGACTCGTCAGCGACCACGATGCCCAGCTTCGTCCTGAGCGCGTCGAACTGCGGCGCCGCGATCGGCTTCGTCATGATGTCCGCCAGCATGTCGAGTGTCGAAACATACTGCAACACCACTTGACCGTCTTCCACCTTCTCGCGCACGAAGTGGTAGCGAATGTCGATGTGCTTGGTGCGCTTGT